ATAAACAGCGCCTTTTATATTGATGGAATGGCCAATGTCCAATATTTAACTTTATCGCTAATTTCGGCCGATATCAATACCATGCCGATAATATTGTGCATCCCTAGTTGCATATAATTCTTTCAACAACAACAGATAAACTTTTCTTACTAAAAATCCAGCACAAAGTGATAGAGTCACTGTGTCCAAATACACAGTTCTTAAAAGGACTTACTTTTGGTGCAGACTGCTTGATGTTTGGGTTGACCAAGTCTCCAAGGTTCTGTTTGTCACTTTTTATTTCAGAATATCCTGTTGATTGTGATGTTGAACCACTGTTCATGGCTCTGAGTGTCTCATCCAACCTGAAGGTCATGGTAAATATTTAGAAGGGTGAAGCTGTGTGGAATATCCACCCAATATAAACTTTGTTTGGTTAAAGCTGCTGTCAGATGATCTTACTTGCTGTAATATTGAGTCAGGTCGTTTCCTTCTTCAACCACTTGTCTACCAGCAAAATCCAGAGTGATCTTCCTGTCCTTACGGGAGGCGTGGCGAAGTTCCCTCAGCTCTTCTTCCTTTTTCCTCAACTTTTCTCTCTCACCGGGGGACAGCCACTGATTAGATTCAGTGGCAAAGTAATCGGACTCATCATCCAGAACCTGCGTTCTCCTGACACTGGAGTTGAAAGCAGCAGTAAATTAAACAGGTATGTTATCACCATGTGTCAGATACAATCTACAGCAAGAAAAACGTACAAAGTGTTGACAATCTGTTCGTTTCTGAGAAGTCATGTATTTTACAATACCTGTTCTTGTCAAACTCCAGTAGTTTATCTTTGTGCTGAATTGCTTTATCCAAGCCAGCTTTAATCTTAGCTTGTTGGTGCGGAAGAAGCTCTCTGTCTCCGCAATCTGCCACCAAAGTAAAAACAAATGCATTAAGTTTAGTTTTGTTTATTATTTTTTGAATATGTAAACAAAATATACAGCATGAAGTATAATGTTAAAACCTTTTGTTTGACATATTCAAGGGAGTGGGTAGAAGTACAAACAACAAAATTCCCACTCCTTAATCACTTACATAATCTTAAATTTATTACATGTATAATCCATACATAACCATATTTAACCCATCAATATAGTATCTATTTAAGTTAGCTACATTAGATGAACAATTATTATTTCTTTAACTTCACCCAAAAAACACAAGCATCAATAGCAAAAACATAAACAATAATTGAATAATAATATTATATATTACATCCAGCAATAATCATGTTTATATGATAATTTGAACTGTTTTGTGTTTGGGCATTGTCTAAATTCAATTTTCAAATCATCCTACAGTTTAACTCCATTTACTGATACACAAAAGTTTTTTTTTTTCTAGTAGTTCAGAATTTGTATATTTTAAAATGTGATTCCCCTCTTAACTTAAGAGGAGAATCACAGTTTAAAATATGCAAATCATCGGCAAATAGTATACTTTTCATTATATGAGGTACAATACATAGATCATTTACATAAATTAGAAACCGTTGGGGACCCAGGACTGACCCCTGAGGAACCCCACAAATAATGCCCAAACATACAGAACAAACATTTCCCAATTTCACATACTGCCTTTCAAATAGCTTTGAATCCAGTCTAGTGCTACTCCCCTTATCCCATAGTTCAAGTTTTTCTTAAATTAATAAATCATGATTGTGTCAAATGTCTTCTTGATGTCCAAAAACACTCCAACAGCAATTTTCTTATTATCCATCGCAGTAGTTATCTCCTCTACGGTTTCTACAATGGCTTGCATTGTTGATCTTCCTGATCTGAAGCCGTACTGACTTTCGTTAAATAACAAATGATACATCATATTACTGTAAGAAAAGTCGGGGCAGTTTAGTCTCACCTCCCATCAGCTTCTTTCTGAGTTTCTGACTTTTGTTGGAGTCTCGTTGTAGAATCTCCTGCTCCTCTCTTGTGCAAACCTCAAACAAAAACACAACTGTAAGAAACACTGAACTAAAAAGTTAAAAATTGACAAATAGTAGACTGATATAAAATCACTCACCAGGCTCCCACAGAAGAGGCAGGGTCCTGATCCTTCTTGCTCACACACAATGCGGCCACAGCTGATGCAGTTGTTGATAAGTTTGTGTTTTTGGGCCAGACAGTCGCAGCTGTGGCGACCTGGGAGTAAAACAGCCAGATTGTCCTGGCCCTCTTTAGCGTAGAGATTGACAAACTTAGTTTTCTTCTTTCCTGAAGAACCAGTGCTGTTTTCCTGGGCCTGACACAGCAGTAAACAGAAAAAAGGTAAAATGAAGACATTTGGTACATACAAAGAGTAAAACATACCAAATGATCATACAAATAAATAAAAAGTTAAATCATATCATCTGGACAGTTTCTTTTTGGGAGACATTTTCTGTGAATTCCACAGCAGACTGGTTTGAAACATCAATAAGGTGCTATTTAATATGACAGATCCTGTTGGCAGGACTCAGACTGATGAAGTCTTTCGGATGAAAGACGAAATGTTTCTTCCAAAAAGAAACGGTCCAGATGACATGATTTAAACTTTTTTGTAGTTTCAGAAAAACACTTCAGTAGCTTCCAGAGTTTTGACTATTTGTCATCGCAAGCAGACAAAGCTGGTTTTATTTATTCAAAAGAAAAAAGAAAAACTAACGTATAAAATCAGCATTTAAGAAGGTGTATATTCAGAATCCAGAAATTGAAAAGAACAATGAGCCAAAACACACCTTCAGCTATTTGATCATTGACTGATTAAGAGCTAATACTCTCTGTTTGTGATCAGTTGGCTGGTAAAGATAAAGAGCAGAATCACTTTCCTGACCAAAGAACTTGTGATGATTGATGAGAAACTACATTAAATCATCAACCCAATTAGAACTATAGCCTGACCGATATGAACATTTTGACTATCATCGATACCGATACTGGGAGGGGACAGCGACTGCCGATAACCAATATAATGGTTGAAAATTGTAGAGCTTTGTCCACTTCCAAGAATCTAAACAGCAAGTGGAGCAGGACTTGTTTATTTAGCACAGCTGTTAGCAAACGTGAAGCTAAGCTAATCAGGTCCATGCTATTTGTAGTTGTACACAAGGTTTACAAGTGGTGCACTGGTCATAGAAACAGTCTTCGTAACATGCGTTCACATTTTCTTTTCTCCAATACTTTCCATAAAGTTATTGTGTATTACAAACTATAAATCAAACAAAGAACGTCTTTCTCTGTTCATTGTTTAAACAGTCATGTATGGTGAAGGTCTAGTAAGTTTTGACAGCAGAAGAGTTTATTTTTCTTTGCAGAGAAGTAACGATTTCAGACAAACAATGCATTTCATTGAGGACGACAAAGATAACGTTACTAACACTGATATGTTTTACCTCTATGTTAGATTTATTGTTCTGGATAAAGTTTTACAAGCCGATAGCCTATGCTAGGTTATATAAACGTTAGCTTGCTGACTTGAGAGGCACGTAGCTAATGACAAGCATGATGGAGGATTGAAGATAATTTATTATTGTTGATCTATTTTACAGATCAGTTAAAATAAATTTACCATGCTCTGTTCAGAAAAATACGCTACACAGCATTGCTCCCTGCTTTGCCTGTGCTGAACATGAAAGTGAAACTTAAGTGAATGGCCATGACTTGAAAGTAGTCTTCATGCACCCTCTGCTGGATACATTGTATAGTTACAGATGATTCCAGCATTTTAGGGGTGAAATTAGACGCGCTTATATCTGCACGCTATCGGACAATCATTACTGATACCATAGGTCCCCAAACGTCTATATTGGCCTAAAATATCAGACCTACAGATATATCGGTTAATTAGAACTGTTAACATTTTTGGATTTACTTTATAAATTCAGATTATATAAGTTTTCAAGTAACGAATTTTATTTTACAAAAAAAAAAAAAAAAAAGAAAAGAATAAAAGAAATAATTGTGTTCAAAATTATTTAACTGGACTTTATGTGTTATGGACTTAACAATGGCTGAATTGCCAAACTGAAGTAGATGAGAAGAAAACGAAGGCAAGTGTCCGTGTGTGCTCACCCTCTTCATATCGATGGGAGTTTTAACCACCTCAGCTTCAGGTTCTGTTTGGCTCACAGGCAACACCTCCTGTTTGTTACGCCCTTTGCGTTTGGACTTCTTCTGAGAATCTTTGATCATGTCTTGCACACGTGTGACAAAAAAAAAGAAAAATTTCAGAAAGCGCTAATGCTGCTGAGATGCAGTATTTAGTGTTTGAGTTCATTTTTATTGTTTGATTTATTTTTACCAAACAGAAAAGTAGATCTTTGTAATCCAGATTAAAGCATGTCAGACATTTATCATCCTACCTGGTGATGGCACAGTTTCCTTGAGAAGGACAAGATTTGCTGTATCGGTGGCCTGTCTTTGAGTTTTCTTCCATCTGCTGAGAAGCTCATCTATAAAGTGTCCTTTTCTCCCATCGGTGCCCTGCAGAAGGTCTCCCACGTACTCTTCGATCTCCTCAGGTTTTTCAATAGACAGAATGTACCTAGACAGCAAGATTACAAAACTACTTATTTCAAAGAACTTCTCAAGAAGTAACTGGAAAAAAAAAACTTGGAAAAATTTTGCAGGGGTTTGCCACTTGGTACATTTAGCTGTGGTGGCCATCTTGAATCAGAAGGACTCCAAACCTAATCTGTTGTAGATGTGGATCCAATTATTACTTTCGGAGAGTTTTAATAAAATCCATTTGATGGTTCATGAAATATTTTTCTAATGGACATTGTTGCCAACATTTTACAGTAAGGATTCACACAATCAAAAAAAAGGAAGGACAATAGTCCCTCATTTATCGCGGAAAATCCGTAACCTGATGCCCTGCGATAAATGAAAAACGGCAAAGTAGGAATCGTCGAACAAGTAGTAAATAATAGTTTATTTTAGAATACACACACACACACATATATATATATATATATATATATATATA